CGCGGCTTCTTAAAGCTGATAGTAGGATTAATGTTCGTTGTTTGCCTGGAGAGCAGATGAGGGAAGACTGTCTTTCCCACAGGAGGTGGTGAAATACATGTTTGGGCAGCTATTCATCATGGAGAAAAATCTGCTCTTTACATCTTCCAGGGAAATGTCAATGGTGCCTCCTACAGCATCACAATGAGACGATATTTCTGCCCTATGCTAGGGCAAAGTTTGGCAATAAAGTTGTGTACCAAGATGAAAACGCCACTACCCACAGTGCACGTATTGTACAGGATTATTTCGACCAGAAGGATGTTACAAGATAGCTAACTGTTAGGCAGAACTGAGCCGGAAAATTGATAATCACGACCCTAAACCAGCTACTGTAGGTGTGTTACAGCGCCTTCTAGTGGCAAGTTGGGATGAAATCACGGTGGATTACATCAATAACTTCATCGGCAGTATGATACGTCACCTAGCGGCGGTTATTAGAGAACGAAGAGGACCAACCAAGTACTGAATGTTTAATATGAACTGATATAAGACTACAGATGCTATTTATAATAATTTGATGTTATATTTTGTCATTATATATGTTTTGGTAAGGTTTAGTTTTTGTTGTGATAGGTGAAATGCTGAATTACACAACTTTCTACAGGTGTCTGATAAAATTGTTTGCTATTCCAATTAATCGTTCATGATGTCCATAGAACCTGTCTCATTATACAAATTACATATATAGATGTTTAATACAACCTGCATTTTACAGTTTGACAGCGATAAGTGTATTTGTATTCCATCTTAATAATAATGATCTTAGTTGTTACAAAATATGCAAACATTTCGACCAATACTGTATATCACACGTGTGATCTTAAAGAAAAATGCATTAAAGTAACTAACAATCATTTTACAGCAAATCTGAAAAGGGCGCAATAAATAGTATCAGTTAAATACACATTTATATCTACACTTATGAGTCTTTCTTTATACGGAGGCACTTGAAACTTTGCAAGCAATGTTTTGTACTCTTGTCGCTCTCACTAATTCGATAAAAGACTAGAGTCTGAACCATGATAATTTTACAGATTGTATCAAACTATCTGTAGGATAAAAGTCCTGAAAAACCATAAAGCAAATTATCTAGTTGTAATAAACATAGTATCCTTGAGTTAAAGATCATATTATATAATTTTTAAATACTGAGGGGGTGGGGTGGAGGAGACAAGAGAGTATTTTTGGGCCCATGAATGCGATGGTGTTTTAAACATTGCACGTCGCTTGTCAATTGGTAAGATAGCTCAGCAAGTATAAGAGGGAACATACAGCTGCATTTTCCACTGCTTAAAGCTCTCTACATTTTTGCGATTTTGACAAGAACTTGCCCCCACCCCCATAAGGCCGTCATTTCTAATAATAAATGCCAAGTTTTATAATAAATATTAAAAACGCGATAATACCAAAAAGCATCTTTAATTACTAACGTTTCGGAATGGCTTCGAATTCCATCATCAGCGTTAAAACCACGAAAATTTTATATATATATAATAATACGCTTGTTCGTGTGTCTGTTACGTAAATAACGTGTGCGCGCGTGCGTATTTAGATAGTAATATGTGCTCGCATTATCATGACAGACCAAAGCTGAGTATTATTATAATAGGCTAGCAGAGACCCGCAAGACATTTGTGCACAGATTAGTGTCTTCATTGCAACAGTACTTCTTTAACTACAGGATTTGTAGAATAATGCAAAAGAATTCTAATCGCAGACACCGAAATCTTGTCATACTATAATTCTCCTGTCGGTACGCCTTATAGGCATGCGTAGTAGTAATTTCATCCAAAAAAACAATGCAAGCGCCTGTCTGCGCCAGGGAGCTGGAAAGATCACCAAACAAATCACTACAACTGCTTTATGAATGAAGGAATAACAAAAAAGTATGGGTGGATGTAAATATTCTTTTTTTAACTGCTTAGTACAATAACATTAAAAGTTAAAAGTTTTCAAAAAACTTCTGATATTAGGCCCTAGAATAACATTATAAGTTTCTTTATAGATACTATTAAGTACAGTATAGTTTGTCCTAACTAGGCTAATGTAAAAAACGTACACGATGCAGTTAATTTTTTTTATCTCTTTATCGAACTTAAACCTAACATTAGTTAAGGTTATATAAAGTACGACCTAAATACAAGTGGACTTACCCTTTTCGGTGTCTACAATTACATTTCGTTTGTATTATTCTACAAATCTTGTGTTTAAAGAAATACTGTTGCAATAAAGATATTAATTTGATAGCAAACGTTTTAAGGGTCTCTGCTAGTTTATAATATTTTAACTACAAAAACAACATTAGCTATTGAGCGAGTAGTTTTCTTATTAAACAATTTATGAAACCAAGTAAAGGTTTTTAAGAAATGTATATTATACAGAAATTTTGAACCGTTTTTCACGTGATTCTTCCAGAAACTGTTATATATATATATATATATAAGTAATGTACATCATTTAACATAGTATGAGTAACTACATCAAGCCAAAGATTACGGAGGACTCATCACATAGGTACGTGTACTGTATCTATATCTACACTAGGCCTGATTAACTGTTGCTATACTGAGATATATCTCAAGTAGATTCCGGCAGGTGTCTGGTTTACGTGTACTGTATATATATATACACTAGGCCTGATTAATTGTTACTATTCTGAGATATATCTGAACTAAATTCCCGGCACATGTCTGGTTTATGTATACTGCATCTATATATAACCTTGACCTCAATAACTGTTGCTATTCTGTGAAATATATCTGAACTAAATTCACTCCTGGCCTGGCTTACGTTCTCCTGTTTGTTATGCCTTTTTGCTATTGTTTCTTCTTCTTCTTTCAATTGTCCGACATTCAGTTCTCGGCAGATTGATTTGAAATTTCGCAAGGTTATATCTTACTCCAATACACCCAGAAAACATTTTAATTTTTTTTATTTAGGCCTTTTTAAGAATTTTATGGGGTCAAAGATAAAAAAAATGTATATACACAGCGTGGTCACAAGTAAATAGACACCACCTTTTCAGAAAAAAATGAAATTTTTCAGTCATATTCACATGAATTGATATATTTATAATTTAAT